ATTACTTTATCTTTATAATTACTTCTTTATCTTTATATACCTTATACTATAGTTTTTCTAGGTCTAAGGGGTAATCTTAATTTAGCCTATTATTAGTTCTATATAAATACTATACTACTTACTAGTTATTTTATTTAGTAAAGTAATATTACTTAGAACTTATTAAGTTATAATATAGTATTACTTAACTATTAGTTATATACTTTTTTAGAGAATAAAAAATACTTTTATTATCTTTATTTATTATTTAAAAAGTAACCTACTTCTTTTTACCTTTATATTAGTTATTAACTATACTAACTATCTATAAGAAAATTACTTTTAACTACCTAAACTAATATACTATAATTAGTATATATAATAAATAAAGTAGTATCTAAAGCTAGCTATATATTAGAAAGGTATAAAGTAAAAAGAACCTAAGTAGTATAGTAATCTAAAGAGAAACACTAATAACCTTTAAGGTAACATAAGATGCTCCCTTAATTAGTTAAAGGCTTACCTTAATTAAAGCATTAAGTGTTTTAGATCTAGGACAAGTAATACCTTAATTACAAGAAGAGAGTGTTTAATTAAAGGAAGTCTTATTATAATTAAAAAGGTAAAACTCCTAATTATCTTATATTATTATATTTAATTAGCTTACTAATTAAAAGGTTTATAGTCTAATCTAGACAAAAGGTAAGTCTAAAAAGAAAAAAAAAGTTTATTAATATTCTATTTATATAATTAGTCTCCCTTATATAGGGTCTTTACTTAATTAGACTAACTACTTTTTTCTTTAACTTATCTTTTAACTTCTAATTAGCTTTAATTAATCTCTAAATTACCTTGCTTTATTTTGATATTTTTATAAGTAAGAGAATATTAACTATATAGAGGTAAAAAAAAGATTTAGTATATTAGTAACTAGTTCCTAGAGTATAAGGCTATACTTAATAACTTTAATATTAAACTAAATAAGATATAGAACTTTAATAAATTACTCTTTTAAGCTAGCTTTATTAATATATCTATAAAGGTTATTTTTATATAAAGAAAGTAGTATTTAAGACCTATAGTTTATAATCTAAAACACTAAGGAAACATTATAGCTATTAATACTATATTAGCTAATATAAAGGTAATCCTTAGCTTCTTTATTCCTTAAGATAAAAATATATAAGAAGACTATCTTTATATAAATTTTATAAATATATTATACCTTATAATAATAGAATTTAGATTTAATATTACTAAAGTACTACTTAAATAAATAAGATACTTTAATAAATAGTTATATACCTTAAGCTCTTTATTTTAGCTTATAAGTATATTATATATACTAGGTTAACTCTTATAGCTAAAAGAGCTTACTCTAAAGGAGTACTCTAGTTATTTAGCCTAGTTAATAGTTCAAGAAATTCAGGTAGTAACCTTACTTAAAACTTTAGATAATAAATAGTAAAGTATTAGTAGACTTAATAGAAAAATATAGCCTTAGATAGTTAATTTAGTAAATAGCTTCAATACTTTTAGTAGCCTTAGTATTAGCTCTAAAGGTACTAAAGTTACTAAAGCTATACCTAGTACTCTAATAAATACTTTAATAAGGCTTATTATTAAAAATACTTACTTTAATATATACTATATATTATTAATAAATAAATTTACTATTTATAAGATATATAAGTTTATTTAATACTATAAGCTTTTTAATATTATACTTATACTTATACTACTAATTACTATATACTAGCTACTTTTGTAGCTACTAAATATTAGTATATACTAGTATATAAAGAAAGTATAATAAAGCTATATACTTAATTATATTAATACTAGCCTCCTTTATATAAGTAAAGTTAAGTTTTTTAACATATAGTAAAAAATCTAAAATATAGGCTTTAAGTACTACTATACACTTAAAGGCTTTAAATAGACTAGTCTATAGCTATAAGATCTAGAATAGCCCCTCTAGAAGTAAAAAAAAAACACTTAACTAATAAAAGTAAATACTTTATCTATATAAGGTTATTTATACTAATACTATACTTTATACTACTTAGTGTATTCTTAAGAGCCTATAATAGTAGTATTTAATAAAGTATAGTTCTTTTAGTATATAAGATAATATATAATAAATTAAAAGTACTCTTAAGGTCTCTATAGTAACCTAGTTTTATATAAATAAAAGGAATAAAAAGCTTACTTATAAGGCTAAGGAAGACTAAAAGCTTACCTATAGTTACTACTAAATAAATATTTCTAATAGTACTATAATAGTAAAATAGCGTTATAATAAGGCTTAATAGTAGTATTAATAAAAAAAAGGTAATAGGCTAAGTAATAATCTAAGTAACTAGGTAACTATTTATAGAATATTACTAATAATAAAGTAAAAGTACTTAGTTAAATACCTTTTATAAAAAGAATATATAAGAATAAAAAGTAAAAAAGTAATACTAATAAAGCTATATAGTTACTTTAGGCTACTAATATAAGCTATATAATAAGGCTAAAAATAACTAATACTATACTACTTATACTAAAAATAATATTATATGCTAGTAGCTAGGCTACTCTAGTAGTACTTATACTGCTAACATGTCCTTCTTTACGTATTCTACTATAGTATCTACGCAAAAGGATACAGAATTATAAGACTAGAAGGTCTTAGAACAACTACACTTAAGTAGGCAGGTGCTAGGCACTGCTTTAGGACCTTCTTGCCAGCGCTATAACAATAAAGAAGTAGTTAAAAAAGTAGCTATAATAGCTACCTAAGTAATAGTTAAGTAATATATAGTTACTAGAGGACTTTAACCTTTTTACTAACTAAGTAGACTTTATATTATTTAATAATTTAAAGTAATAGAGAGGTATATTTATATTACTAGATATATATACCTAATAGTTACCTCTAAAGTAGCCTAAAGATAATAAGTACTAATAAAGTAAATATTAAAATATAACTTCTTTATACTAAAGAGAAGTAACAAGAATTAAGGCTAAGTAATAGGTAGTAGCTTAGGTAGTAAATAGGCTATAAAGTAAGATAGTTAATTGTAAAAAGGATTTATCTTAAAAAAAGATAATATTATTATAAAGTATACTCTTTATTATACTTACTATTACTAGGTATAGAATTTAAGTACTTTTATTATGAAAACGCTAACTATAATAAAATAAATACTATTAAATAGCTTTTAATTAAATAAATTAATTAATATAAAAATTAATTATATTTAATAATAGTTATAATTATTATTATTGTTTATAAGTTAGGTTATATTTAATAGTAGGGGCAAATTCAAGATTTAGGTATACACTCTTATATAATTAAGTGTATTATGTGGCCCTACTCTAACGCACAGGTAGTATATTTACTTACTCTTTACCATATTTAATATAAGTAAGACTAAGGCTATAACGCTAATTCAAAGTTATAAGGTTAACAGGTGTTAAACATAGTAAGATAAACGTGTCTATAGTATTGCTATGTTGCTGAGTGTTATAGGCTACGCCATGATAAGTGTGGTAGGGCGGTGCCCACGACGGATCATTTCGCTTAAGTCAAAGCGGGCCGAACGCGCACCAGTCGCGCAGATGGAAAACCCGCGCGATCGGTGCGCCCGTTTGCTTTTTCCTAGCTTTGCCCTTTAGCTTAGATAAATCGTATCGAGTTGCTATACGTCCGTTCAAGGCGGTGCCAACTCATCACTCCGAGTATACGGTATATGTATCGCGTGTAGAATGCAAGTTGTGTATTGGCCCCAGACTGGAGTTTCGAGGATGTCAGTGGGCCAAGCACCGATCTAAATGAATTGGCCTAAGGCTAGTAAAGTAAAATATCCATGTACTGCTACCTAGGCCCGACCCGGGCCCAGGTTAATTAAACATATCCCTCAGCTGCAACAAGCTGAAAAGGGCTGCCTAGGTAGCCTTGAGGGTAACAAAAATCTACCCAATAAGCAGACTTCTGTACTTTACCTAATGTACGTTATTGTAATCAATTAAGTAGTAATATATATAAAAAGCTTTAACTAACGGCGACGACGACGGCGACGGCGACGGCGACGGTAGGGGTGCAGGCGACCGCGTTGTGGGAGGGAAATTGGCTATGGACGGGTCTCCTAGAGATTGGGTGTGGCCTGGCTAGCGAAAGTCTGGGACTGGAGTCAAGGTGGGTTATGCCACTTTTGGCGCCAGTATAGTGAGAGGTGGGAGAAGCGTACTCCGTACTGCCGCCCATTGGGAGGGGCGGAAAGGGCGTTGAGAGCTTGATTGAAGTTGGGCTTCCTTGAACTTGAGCCTTGGTTACGAGACACCGATACCCACTCCAACCACGCATTCGACGCCCCTTGACGTTCAACTTTAGTAATCCACATCAGCACCACTTAAAAAATGCCTCCGAACCACCCTATGAACAGCTATAGCCCTAAATTCAAGCCATTACTGCTTTTTCTAACCTTTCAATCACTTCATTCTTTCAGCATTTGACCTTGATCCTGCAATAGGCCAGCGTATTCATCACGAGGGATGTTGAGGAATCGAAGCTGTTACATGCCGCCAATTGACTTGCCAAGCCTCTACAATAGGACCCACCACGTTTTATGTTACAGCTCAACCAGCTGGTGTGCTAGCCGGCGTAACTATCAAGTGGACCTTTCACTTGTGTGGACCTTTCACTTTGCTGTATCTACTATAATTAGCGATATCAGATTTTACCGCTAATTTAACCTAGCGGCCTATCCGTACAACTAGGTATTATCGTTCAAGTTATGCTTAATCTAAGTACTCAATTGACCCTTGTTATTTATTACCAATATTTGTAATATTACAATATTACAATACCTATAACTAATATTAACAACAACAATAATCATCATAAGCTATTATTAATTCTTTCAGTGACACGTGGTTCAAGTAAGCCTAGCCTGATCTATCTGAGGCGAAGGAATCTACTACATACTGTATATAAGGTACTTTGAACATACATAATCTTTTGCAGTTGTAAACCCACATCCCTATCTCCTTTGCCTTCCAGGCTCCCAAGTCTTTTTATTTTTCGTTGTAGTTGTTTGACACCCTCTGTAGTCATGTTGAATTACATGTTATTGTGTCTAGCCCTTCTGGGATTATCCTCACTTGCTTCTAGCAGCGTTCCCTATGCTCGAGATGGGGATATTGCAGTTGGCGACAAATGGAGACCCTACGATCAGGTTGAGATCTTCCAAGCAGGAGCCACGCGTGGACTTGAAGGCATACTTGAGCTGCGTTTCATGCCTATGCTCAATGATGCAAGGGGTTGCTTCCCATATGCTGCTGTTGACAAGGATGGTGCCCATGGGTATGTGTGCTGCGAACCTTTCTCGTACTTGTTAAATCACGTTATATCTGACTTTATTTACTTAGTATGGGGCTAAAGCCTACAGGAAAGAGCGGCGGGGACTGCCGTGATGACAGCAAAGGCCAGCTTTATGCCAGAGTTGGAACTTCTAACGGTCGGACCGGTGTAATGTATTCGTGGTATCTACCCAAAGTCCAGACGGATACCGAACATCATAAGCACTGGTACTTAAGTATTGTTGTCTGGGTGCATTCTGAGTGTAACCCAGCAGCTGATGACTGCAACATCGTTGGAGTTAGCTACTCGAGTGGGGCAGAGACCTACGATACATCAATGAGCGGTGAAACGCTCTATAGCTCTGGCCACAATGGCACCGGTCCCGTCAAAACACATCCAATCGTTGGATACGACGGCCAGGTGAAAGTCTTTCCCTCCCAAGATGGTGACCAGCACGCCCTGGGCCCGCCATTAATCAGCTGGGAAAAGCTGTCTTTAGCGGCAAGACAGCAGCTTAACGGCTTTCAGTACGAAAACGCTAGATGTCCCTTTAACGACAACAACTTCCAAGAGTCCTTGGACGCTGCTTTCAACGAAAGCTTTTACACCAGCCTAACATCCAGGTCTAACAAGCCCAGTGTGCCGCAGCCGCCACCACCGTCGTCACGTGCTAAGGGGCCGGACTTGGCGTGCATGGGTCAAGGTCCTTCGTTTAATCCTTCAAACTGCGTATTCTCTCCCATTCAGGACGACGGAAGCGTCCTCGACTTAACGGATGCAGAGGCTATTCTCAGATTTATGAATGTCAAAACCTTTTTGCGATACTTCAAAGGTAGCAGGGCAGACCTTACCAATACATGTGTGTTTTACACCAAAGCAGTCTCTCCTGCTAGAAAAAATGTGGGTTTGGCCATTACTGCGACAAAATGGGCGTGCGGAGAGTCCCAGAAGCGCCGATACACAATGTGGGTATGTATTCTCCCAGGTCCTTTGAAAGAGATTAAAAGTCCTCAAAGCGAGGAACCTGACTAACAACACATAGCATCTGTTACCCAACGCTATGGATGCTGCTTCCCACCCGGGCGTACGTGACTTTTACACCCCGCAGAAGGTCGGAGGCTGGCTGGATGCTCTCAGGATAGCGCAAGAAAAATATGAGGCGACGAAGCCTCCTGGAGTGGTGCCCCCGTTCAACCGTTATTTCCAGGCAGGGTCGCAGGCCATGGCTGAAGCATGCTACGGAGACATAGTAATCGTGACGGAGACGCCGTCCGAACTCGCTCAATACGAGCCAGGCAAAAAGTACCAGGTGGCTGGTCGCACTAACGTATTCTGGTCTCATGAGCGGCCTGTGATCCAACGGAAGGTGAAAGCAGGAGAGGCAACGCTCTATGTGCTGGACGCCAACACCAAAAAAACTTACAAAGTTACGGATATTGATACGTTTAAGATTGGCCCCGCCGTGAAGTTGAGACGAGATCTGTCATCAGCTTACGAGACGTCTGACATTTTCGAACGCTCCCGAATACGGGCCTCGGGCAACATGTGCAAAACGAGCGGACTTGGATCTCTGAGATCGGGCCAGGACTGGTTTGGATCATAGGGAAGCAATGGATGGGAGTCGCACCAGACGCATCGTCAACCTGGCAAGCGGGGTCAGGCTACAGCGCGAGTAGCATGCTTATGCGTCTAGACCTATGTGCCAGAGGAAAATGTACCTTAATAGCGACTATAGATATACGCAGACCTGTTCAGTACTAGAGTTTAGAATATAATATAAATATAAGTGTTAGAATATTAATACTAATAATTATATAACACCTAGTTAGTTGACTATAAATAGTTTATAATTCAAGGTTAAAGGGCATAGACTAGTTATTTAGCCCTTAGTTATACAAAGAGAGGATTATACTTTTAGTTACCTAGAATAACTTAAGTTACACTTAGGTAGTATATAACTACTTAGTAGTATATAGGTAATATAGCTATAGGTAGTAGGTTATATAATATACTACCTACTAGTAGTATTCTCTACCTTTGCCTATACATAAGGGTACTACTATATAGGTACTCCTACTTTATATTAACTTTTAATAATAATAATAACTAATTAACTACTCTTTTTTATACTTTATAATATTATAAACTTAAGATATTCTATTAATTAACTAGTAAAAAACTAATATTAATTAATAGTTAATTATTACTAATAACTAGTAATTAATAAGGCTTACTATTATAGAAGTTTACTTAGCCTACTATAACCTAGTAAGCTACTAACTAAGTTAAGTGTTATTAAGGCTACTTTACCCCTATAAGAAACACTATAGTGTTTATTATACTATTAGAACCCCTTTAATAAGTAAAAATCTTTTTTATACTAACTATAGTGCTATTAAGAAGAGACACTTAAGTAATAATAATTAGTACCTTATTTAATTTTTTTTTATCTTTATATTTACCTCTTTAGAAAACTTATCTTTATTTATTTTATATATATAAAACTAACCTAGTACTATTTAGACTTATAAATATAAGTTATATTAAAAAAGAACTTACTACTTAATAATAACTATAATAGTTATATAGTAATTACTACTAACTAACTTTAATAACTAATCTTATAATAAGCTAAGTTAGTAGTAAGGCTAGTAGTACTTTATACTTAAAGGTACTTACTACTATAGTAAAATATATTAACTATAAAAAGTATAGCTAAAAAATCTTTTTTAATAAGTAAGACCTTTTTACTATTTACTTTTATTTTACTTATAATATAGCTAAATAAGCTAAATATATCTATATAAGTTATTAGCTCTAGAGGGACTTTTAGTATTACTTTAATAAATAAAATAAAGCCTTTTTTAGTACTACTAGTAAAATACTACTATTAATTTTTATATAAATTTTTTTAACTAAGATATCTTTATACTTAAGGACTATTAATAGATTACTTTATACTTTATTACTATTATTAATAATAATAACTTTTATATATAAATAAATAAAGAGGTTTAGAAAGTATAGTATAAGTTAGTATATTTAATAGGCTTATTAATATATATAATAGCTTTCTAAATAATATCTAATATAGTTATATTAGCCTAGGATAGTATAAGTAAAAATAGTAATAGTAACCTATTACTTATATAAGTAAATAAAGTATAATAAAAATTATAAACCTTAAAAAGTAACTAGTAATAATATAGACTTAACTTAATAAGTAATATAGTAAGGTTAGGTGGTATAGTCCTAGGAATCACGTGGTAGTTAACTTAAGGGATAGATTAATAAGAAGGCCACCTACCTATTAAAAAAGGGATTTATAGACCTAAGAAGGGATTAGAGGGGATATAATTATTTATATATAGTCGTTATTATAAGCCTTAATACTCTATACAAAAATACACTACTAGTTATTACTATACTTTTATTTATTTAGTAAAATTTACTTTTTTTATAATTACTTTATTAATTTATACTTTTATTTTAGTATCTTTATAGATTAGGTCTAAGAATTATAAGACCTATTAATTAATATATATATTATTATTATTAAATATTATTATAGTATAGGTAGTTTTCTTATATTTTACTATTCCTCTTTTTCCTTTATTAGGTAGCCTAGATGCCTTACCTTTTCTTAATAGTGCCTAGAGGTAGATCTACTTCTTTAGTATAGGTATTCTATACTAGGCTATAGATAGGCTCTTCTATATAGTTATAATAAATTTATAGTTAATAAAAACTATTATATAGGATATTACTAACTAACACTGCCTTCTAGAACAACGTTGCTTATTAATCTAACCCTTGCTCCTAAATATAGATACTTGCAGCAGAATCTACTAAGTAAGGCAATATTTAAGGAACATAGATTATAGTACTATAAATAGAAGAAATAAGCTACTTTTAACTATATAAATTACCCCCTAAATATACTACTTAATAATAGTTATAAGCCTAGCTTTAACTTAATCTATAAGTAATAATAACCTTTACTATTATAAAGTAGTATACACTTAGAAATATTTTTTTTAAAAACTAATACTCTTTTTTAACTTTATTCTATACCTATAATACCTTTAAAAGCAACAGTAAGTCTACTAACTAACACCTGCCTTTATAGCCTTTTAACTATACGTAAAGATTAGTTCTTATAGTATATAAAGCTTTACTTTTACGCTACCTAACGCAAAGTCTAGTAATTTATTAATCTAGACAGCAAAGAGGAGCTCCCTAAGCACCTAGGAGCACCTACGCTAGCTAAATACATTGTAGAGTAAAACACTAAACACTAAAGGTAATATAAAGCTAACCTTATAAGCTAAAATAACCTCTTAGTTAGCTAGTAAGTAAGGTAGTAAGGCTAAGAGCCTGTCTAGCTAGTAGTACTAACTATTAATAATA